ATTCCTATGCATACCATCAGGTGAAATCCATGTGTATAACCTGCGTTTATGTTTCTTATAAAACATATTTGCAATGAATAAGTCATTGACTGTACAAAATTCAATCATTCTATCACCAGCTTCATTTCTGTCACCAAGGCCATGTTTTCCGACTACTGATTCTTCTTCACTGTTCCCAACTTTTGCATTCCAGTCACCCATTATTACCAATGCATCTTGATTGCATGTTCGATTGATCTCTGGAGACAGTGACAAGTTCAAACTTCCAACATTTTGGTTGATGAGTGCTTTTTCCATTTACACCACCAAGGGGTCCTTTTCAAAGTACATATTTAATAAAATAGACCAAAATTGTCCCTATACAATTGAAATTTGAGCTGTGGTGCTGGAGAACAGTAGTGAATGTAGCACTGACTGCTAGAAAAACAAACAGGTTCATCCTGAAATGGGTGAAACCAGGCTGCTTCTTGAAGGCAAGGATTCTGACGTTCCATCTGACATACTCTGAGCATGCTGCCAGGAGGGACCAGCCCTTGGAGAAGGACATCATGCTTGGGAGGGTAAAGGGACAGCTTGGGAGGACCCTGGATGAGATGGATTGATTCAGTGATTGGATTAATGGCCATAGGTGTGTCAGAGAAGATAAGGCTGGCTCAGGATAGTTAAGGTTTCATAGCTGTTGTACACAGGGTCATTATGAGCCACACGTGACTCCATGGCACACAACTTTAGGATAACTCTATGTAGTACTTTTAGAACAGAATGATTGGCACTGTAGCCCATAGCATTTTACTCTGTGTGTCTAAGGTCTATCATTCAAAATGTCTTTCCTAGGCAATTACTAACTGCTTATTTTGTGAAGTATTTATTATACTAAGGAAAGAGGATTAGCACGGGACCCAAGTCCCACTCGAGTCAAGGCTTCTATAAGCTCATGGGACCTCAGTGTTAGCTCTCTCTATTGGTATGCTCACTTGCCTGGGACATAGCATCCATCTGCATTACAACTGACAATCTCCAGGATCCTGGCCCTTCGCTCTCCAGTTTCTGCAAAACCAGCCTGCATACCTACAGTCACATAAGTCATTCCCCTGACAGGTCTCCGTCTACAGGAGGCCTTCCAGCGAACCAGTGAACCCCAGGGACATAGAGAAGCTAGGAACTGAAGAAAGGAGGAGCTGTTGATGTTGGCAATCATGGATATATATATAGCAAGTCAAGCATCTGGGACAACACTGACTTGACACTTCTTACAACTGCTCTGTTACTAATCTTAGCAAACAAATTATAAAAACCAAAAGAAAAGACAGATAAAATCCACAAGCAGCTCTGAGGAAGAAATTCTCCTTCCTGTAAGATGTACAGCCTCAGAAACCCAATGGACAATCACAACCAGTCAGAACCAAGTTGACGGCAGTGAGTCAGAATATCAGCTTTAGTTACATAGACTCTTGTGACCTCAAGGGTAAGGAGTCGCACTGCCAACCCACAGGCAAGTGGTTATAGAATCCACCAGCTGCTCTGCAGGAAAAAGATGGACAGTCTCCTCCCAGGCAATTTACAGCTGCTGAAAACCCCCTGAAGGGACAGTTAGGAGTCAGCTCTGACTCGATGGCACTTAACAAAAACAAAAACAAAAAAAACCAAACCACACAGAATATCAAAAAAGACAATGTTCTAGTTTTAGTCTTACAATTTGTGTGAACTCGAAGAGATTACCTCATTTCTCTGAACCTCTGTAACTTCATCTATACGTAAAGGGAATAACGATAATACCTAGTAAGCTACGATGGTGTCGAATCATGCATGTGAAATACCAAGCCCAGAGCCTGAGTACAAAAGCAATCACCAGGGAGATACCCACCACTTACAACCCTCAACTACACATGATCGCGAGGGTAGCCTTTGTCTAAGGATAAAAAGCAAAAGGTAGGGCAAGGTTGGAGGAATGAATGACCACAGAAATCGCAGATATAGCGGGGAAAGTGATGACATCATGTGAGGCCTATAATCTGTGTCATAAAATAGTTATGAATGGTTGACTCTTTCCCTTAAGTAATAAAACTTTTGTTCAATATACAGGAGGGAGCTCTGGTGGCCTAGTGGTAAGAAGTTGTGCTGCAATCCCGCCTCTAAAAACCCACTGGAGGGTCAGCTATGGGTTGGTTCTGACTCAACAGTATACAACCATAACAACATCCCTCCTTTGACAATTATGATTGCTGAATGTGTCCCAGTAGACAAGAACAAATCAGCCACCACCAGATCCTCATGAAGGCTACAGTGGCTTCTGAAACTTCACAACTACAAAGAGATGTATTTTCTATCATGACCATATACAGCCGCATATATTTTATTAAAATACATGGAATAATAGTTTCATGAAATAATAACTATTACAGGCAATATAATATGATATTTCTAGATTATTATATTTAATCTTGTTTAAATACTGATCAACTCCTAAAGTGAGTTCATAATGTATTTATTTGCAATCCATTATTACCGATGAGCTATGAAAGGGTAGATTTCATAAAGCAGACTGCAAATGAATACACAAAGAGCAGTACTTACCAATACAATTATCTTTGACCTCATTTTGACCACGGCTTTCATTCACATTTACAAACATAAGTGGGGAAGACTTCATGATGTGCTGGATAAAATCAAGCAACATCACAGACGTAGGCTGCGAGTCGGTTTTCTTAATGAGTTCTAGAGCAACTAAAATAAGAAAGGTTCAATAAAGAGTCAAGACAAATAAAAAACAATTCTTTTGTTAAGAAAGAAAGTACTACAGACTAAGAGAATAGGTGTCAGGACAACACTATGGAGGATTTGATTTCTTCGATGAGGGGTTAGTCAAACAGAGAGGAGAAGCACAAAAGAAATCTAATTAGAATACACCAAATGAAAGGTCATCTTACAACTGTTCAGCAGTACTCTGTTATCCTTCAGTAATCAGGAATTTTACGGATTATTTTTTAAATAAGGCTAACTACTACAAGTAATAAAATCAGTACTGAATCTGCAATCAATTGACAAACTATGAATCAACTATCACTTAGTATTATTACTTCTTCCAAGTAATTACAACAGGTGTGACACTATCTTGGGTTTAGGAACCAGAGCCAAATTGGTAACTGTCCTTTATACTCCCATGAACACACAGCAGCTAATTAGACAAGTCAAAGCATCCTGTCAGACAGCACTGTTGTCTCAGTGGTAAAGAGTTGTGCTGACAACCCAGAGGTACAAATCTACCAGCGTCTTTGCAAGAGGAAAGATGGGCAGTCTCCTCCCATACAACTTACTGCGTCTGAAAACCCACTGGAGGGTCAGCTATGAGTTGGTTCCAACACAATGATAAATAACAATAGGACCTAAATCACACTATATAAAAAGGAATAAGACGGTAAAATAAATAACTTATTTAAAAATAGTAATTACCAGAATCACTAATTCTGTATCTAAAACTATAGAAAAAAATAAGAAAATGCTCCTTTGTATATAAGGAAGTAATTTCCAAAGTTTATATAAGAAATAAGTGGTTTCTGGTGAGCTCTGGTAGCTGGCAAGAAGCTGCAACCCCAAAAGTGAGCGGTTTGAATCCACCAGATGCTCTGCTGGAGAAGGAGGGACAATTTCCTCCTCCAACAGTCAGATTTGATTTGACGGTACACACGCACGCACGCACGCACGCGCGCGCACACACACACACACACTTTAAATTTTAAAAAAAAAGAAAGAAAGAAGTGGTTTCTTACCAACATTCACATCTGTAAGAATTCGGTCAATGAACTGACATAGAATTTGCCTTGGTTTCTGTACAACTGTGTTATACTCCTCTGGACTGACACTAAAATACAAATAAAAAATGTTTAACACTTAATAAACACGTAATTGCATTAGGAAAATATTCCTTAAAGTTGGATTCTTTCACTTCACTGTTGACATAAATATATGTCTTCTGTTTAAAAAGGGAAAAAGATACACTAAAAATGCATGCTGCCAATGTACATATTTCCCCATTAATTATCTTAAACAGTGTGGGGGAGAAAGAGGTTTGTCTTCTTAATTATCCAACAACAAAGTTCCACCTTGACTGGCTACATACAGGATCCACATTTAAATTTAACAAGGACATAACAATGAAAGCGCTGGAACACAGTAAACATTAAGGAACTGCAGCTCCACGGGAGGAAGATGTGCACTCTCTGTGTGTGATTTATAGCCTCTGACAGCAAACTGGAGGGTCAACTATGAAGTGGTCCCACTCCACTGCACATGACAACAGTAATTTCTTTCTCCCTGCATGCTCTGCAGCACTGTGTCTGGCTTGACAGAAACAATTGGCAGGTGGCTGAAGTCAACAGATACTTACAAGTAATACAGATCTCCATTATACAGAATTAAAAAGCCGGCAGTAACAGTGTAGGTGAGAACCCTGTGGGAAAAACACTCGGTGTTCCCCGTCTTATTTAAACTAGTGCTGTACAACAGCAATATCATAAAAGCCACATATGTAATTTAAAAATTTATTTTTAAGCCAGATGAAAAACCAGGCAAAATTAGGGTGCTCTGGTGGCCCGGCGGTTAAGAAGTGGCACTGCCAACCCAAAGGCACACTCTTTGAAACTACCAGCTGCTCTGCAGGAGAAGATGGGGTTCTCTCCTCCCGTGTGATTTAGAGGCTCTGAAAATCTGCTTAAAAGTTAGCTATGAGTCAGTTCTGACTCAACAGAACATAAGAATATTCAAAAATATTATTTTAATAAGTTATCAATATAAAAATCATTTTTACATCCTTTTTTTCATATATTAAATCTTTGGAATCCAGTGTGTACTTAACATTTACAGTATATCTTAGATTCAGCTGCATGTGAAGCATTCAAAGGCCATGTGGCTACCATATTGGACGGGACTGATTTAAAAATAGCTATAATTTTTTAAAAAAATTTGTAATTGCAAAGCAACATATATTATTTCAGGCAATGCCAAGATACTCTGTCATAAATCAAGTGCTATTTCACAAATGTCACTTATTTTTAAATGTAAAAATAGAAATAAAGGTCGGCAAGGATAGGAACCAGGGATATAGGTGGTCAGAGGATCAGAAAGTTTAATTTTGCAAATGTTCATGAGTCACTTTTCTAATTTTTTAAGTAAACATTAGTTTTTAAAAGGGTAAATTATCCTTTATTTGATGCTTGATCACAATGAAAAAATTCATGTTTATGTGAATATTTCTTATTTTACAACTTTGTAGTCCTTTGATGCAAGAATGGTGAGACCTCAAGGCATATGCTTTGGACATGTTATCAGAAGCGGTAGATCCCTGGAGAAAGACACATTTAGTAAAGTGAAGAGACAATACAAAAGAGGAAGTATCATAACAAAACAGAATGACACAGTAGCTGCAACAATAGGATCAAACACAGTACACACTATGAGGACAGTTAATAGCTTCAGCTTGCTCGGCTCCATAGTCACTACTCTTGGCACCAGCAGTTAAGGAATCAAACGACAAATTGAAGTCTAGAGATTAAAGTGCACCTAATCTAGGTCATGGTCTTTGTAATTACTTGCTATGCACGAGAGAGCTGGACAATGACTAAGGATGACAGAAGAACCAATGTCTTTGAGTCGTGGATCTGGAAAAGAGTCTTGAACATTCCAAAGACTGCCAAGAAAACAAATAAGTCTGTCTTGGAGAGGGTGAAACCAAGATTCTCCTTGGAGGCTAAGATTTTGAAGCTCCTCCTCATATACTCTGGGCATGTGGCCAGGAGGGATGGTCCTTGGAGAAGGACATCATGCTCTGAGGGACAGCGCAGGAGAGGAAGACCCCAGATGAGATGGATTGACACATTAACTGGAACAATGGGGGTAAGCATGTGGAATCAGTGAGACTGGCTTAGAATAGGGCAGGCTTCAGAGCTATTGTACATAGAGTCACTACAAGTCACAGGTGACTCAGTGGCACATACAACAACAACAACAAGCAGCAGAGGTTAGCAGTGAATCAGAACCAAGACAACAGCGTCAAACAGCAGCCTTGGAACGGCCAGGAGTCTTGGTGGTGCAACGGTGAAATATTCTGCTAACCAAAAGGTCAGTGGATCAAACCTGTCAGCCAGCCGCACTGTAGGAGAAAGCAGGGGCAGTGTGCCTGGAAACAACTGGGCAGCTTTGCTCTGGGGTCAGTTAGTAGGAAAATAACTCTTCACAGCTAGTTTTTTGTTTGCCTTGGAACTGAGCTAAGAAGATACACTTTTTTCAAACAAGTATACTGTAATAGTTGAGTGTAAATTTAAGTATCACAGATTGTGAGAAATCAAAACAGAAAATGAAAAAGAATGTCCTCCTGTGGGGCAAGCATCAAATGACAAAATACGGTGCTCCAGCTCTGGAATTTAGAAATAAAGAGGCATAGAAGAGGTAATGATAATATTATGTTGTTAAGTATAACTCAAGTCAAGAAAGATCACAACAGAGACACTCCGCAGAGGTAAGAGGCCCAAGGCTTTCCGAAGACGTAATCCATAGCTGAGTCTTTCTAGGGTCAGGCAAGCAAAGGAGGGGGAGGGGAGACAAAACAAAGACACTGCTGTGAAACAGATTCTAACTCAAGGTCCCCCCCGTGTGTCATGAAACAGGCTGTAAAAAAATCACTAGGTTTTCCTCCAAACCACTGGATGGGTCTGAATCCATCCCACTGCAAACCTTTTAGTCAAGTACAACTATTTACCCCACTCTGAAAAACACACAAAGTATGGAACACACATAGAAAAGAACATGCAAAGGCTCGGCAATAGTATCATCTCTGTTCCTGAGGCATGCCACCAAATTAACTCCACATTACAGTGCTCCTATCTGACAGAGTTGAACTGCCGACAGGGTTTTCTAACATTCTTGGGCCAGCAGCCAGAAAATCAAGAGACGAACTGCATTGGGAAAGTCGGCTATCAGGGACCTCTCCAGAGGACTGAAGAGCAATGACTCAGAGCCAAAATCTAAGGTGCACCTGATCCAGGCCATAATCTTCACAATTGCTTGCTATGCATCAGAGAGCTGGATAATGAGTGGGGATGACAGAAAGAGATTTGATGCCTTTGAGCTGTGGTGCTGGAGAAGAGTGTTGAATATACCACAGACTGCCAGGAGAATAAACAGGTTGTTGTGGAGAGGGTGAAGTCAGGCTGCTCTTTGGAGGCAAAAATTCTGAGGCTTCGTCTGACATACTTTGGGCATGCTGCAAGGAAGGACTGATCCTTGGGGAGGGACATCATGCCTGGAAGGGTAGAGGGACAGAGAAAGAGACAGAGATCATTGATGAGATGGACTGATATAGTGACTGGGGTAAAAAGAGTAGGTGTGTCAGAGACACTAAAGTTGGCACAGGGTAAATAAGTTTCAGGGTTGTCTGGCATAGGGTCCCTTTGAGTTGCAAGCAACTCGACATAACAACAACCAACAACAATCATTACAGAGCCAAATCATAGGGTCTTCCCCCCACCCCCACCCCGTGTGGTGGGTGAGGTTAGACAATCAACCTTTCAGTTAATAGGCAGGTACTTAACAATTATATCTCCAGGGCTCAAAGAGGTTCTCTGTATCTAAAGAAGGAAAGGTAGTAATTGGAGATAAAGGTTAAGAGGTAAAAAGAGGTCAAAGTTCAAAAGATGGATTAAGGAGTTTGTATTAAAGAGGACTGAAAGGTAATAGGCAGAAGAGTGAAGAGAGTATGTTTTAAAAAGATGGACTCAGTCATCTCTCAAAACACTTCAAAGGCTTCATGTTCCAGTTAAAATAAAAATTCTATGAGGTCTCAAAGGATCTGGCCCCTGTCTACTTCTCAACCTTCAACTCACATCACTGTCCTTCTCAGAACATTCCAGCCTTCTTTCCATTCTTTAAAACATGAGCTTCTTCCCCTACAGAAAACATGGTATTTCTTTTCTTTCTTAAACACTCCTTGTTCAATTCATCATCCAGACTTTCTCTGATAGCTAATGTTGCTGTTTTGCAGGCTGCAGCTCCAGTGAACTAGTGCTTTAATACCAACTGTCAGCATCTGAAAATATTGTCATTGTACAGCAATTTTAAATAGGAAGGTCAAAGGACACATCTCCGATATGACATCTGAACAGAAACAGTATTTCGATTGAAAGAAGAGGCTTAAAGAAAAGGAAGATTTTGGCATATGAGAAAGGAGAAAGTCAGTGTCAACAGTGCAGAGTGAACAAGAGAGGGATAGAAGGTAAAGTTCAGATACAGGTTGAACTAGATTCTAGAGGATCTTAGAGGGTAAGCAGTTTCGGTTATATTTTAAGTATGTCAGAAAGCCAAAGGAAGATTATTGAGAAAAATGATGTTCTAGAACTTGTAATAATCATCGTTTTAAAAAAATAATTTCGGCTGTTGAGCAGAAAATCATTTATATATGGGCAAAAATAAAACTGAAAAAGCCAGATGAGAAGTGGCTGCAATAATCCATTTAAGACATGATGGTGCCAACAACAAACACAGTGAGAAGGGTCAGATTGTAGATGCATTTCAAAGACAGAGTTAGTAGGAGTTGTGGATTAATCACTAAAGGGTAAAGGTCAGAATCGAGGATGGTTCCTGGGGTTGGTGCCTTGACAATGACCTGGGACAGAACCAAATTTAAAAGTAGTAAATCTGAAAACAAACAAAGAAGGGTAGTAAACCATGGACGCCAAGAGAACAAACAGGTCTTCCCTGCGGAAGGTGAAAACCAGTTGCTCCCTGGAGACTCGGATTTTGAAGCTCTGTCTTACATTTTTGAACATGTCAGCAGGAAGGACCAGTCCGTGGAGACATCATGCTTGGAAGGGTAGAGGGACAGCACAGGAGAGATAATGGAAACCGACTGACACAGTAACTGGAGCAATGGGGTAGACCGACTGACACAGTAACTGGAGCAATGGGGTAGTTGTGTTGGAGACAGTGAGATTGGCTCAGGATAGACCAGGGTTCAGAGCTATTGTGCATACAGTTGCTAAGTGGCAATCAACGGGACAACACACAACAACTATGTGGAGAGAACCCGGACAGCAGACGTGCCCAACGCAATATATTATCTCCTTTATTAATATCTTATCTCCTGACTACTACTGCCCAGGGATTGTGGAGCCAACCAAGATGAAATTCAATCTTTATGCTGAGCAAATAACATGAGAAGCTGGACTACTTGAAGGATGAGGAATCAGGATTAGAGGAAGATGTAGAAGAACCTGCAATATGCATCTGATGACATCATGCTTGCTGAAAGAGGGTTTGAAATACTTAGCAGAGATCAAGTTACAGCCATCAGGATGGCTTACACTCCAAGGTAAAGAAAACAAAAAACCTCATAACTGGACCAATAGGTATTATCACGACAAATGGAGAAAAGACTCTTAAGTTATTAAGGATTTTATTTTACTCAGATCTATAATAACATCCCTGGAAGCAATAGTCAAGAAATCAAACAATGTATCAGTGGGCAAAAATACTGATAAGAACTCTTATAAAGTGCTAAAGAGCAGGGATATCAGTTTAAAGATTCAAATTGATTGACATGGTATCCAAGTCATGGTATTTTCAATTGCTTTACATACATGTGGAAGTTGGACAATGGCAGACTGAAATTACATCTTTGAACTGGGGTAATGTCTGACAAAGCACAGTGAATACACTATGGACTGTAAAAAGAATGAACACATTTATCTGGAAAAAGTGCAGCTGAATGCCCCTTAGAAACCAGAAGAGTTAAGACTTCATTTCACACACTAAGGCCATGCTGTCAGGAGATGCCAATCCCTGGAGGACATCGTGACTCAAACAGTAGTCAGCAAGAGAGGAAGACCCTCAAGGAGAAGGACTGACATAGGGACTGCAACAGTGGACAGAAGCACAGATGATGACACAGGATCGGGCAGTTTTGAGCTGTGTACACAGTGTGACTATGAGTTGGGCCCAACTCAATGGAATCCAACAATAACGAATGAGTAGAATTAAACAAATGAAAACCAGCTTGCGGAGAATTTCTGTTGGTATATGTTGAGTTTAAGTGCATACAAAGCACCTACATGAAACTGTCAATATCAGGTATATAACTGACTTTGAACAACAATGGCATGGTTTGCAATACTGTAGAATGAGTATAAGGATTCAAGGGGAGGGGGCAGAGGGTGGAAGCAGAGGGATGAGGATGTGCAGGGGAGGGGAGGATTAATCATGGGGTTGTACAATTTGGTGAGGGAAACTGGAATAATATGGTCTGGAAAACAATGTATTCAAAATTTGTAAATAAACTAGTATAATAAA